AAGAGAAAACAAAACAGATGCTAAAAGATGGTATATTAAAAGAATCTAACTCGGAATACTATTCACCAGTCAGAATGTGAAAACAGATAATCTAAAAAAAAGCGTTCTATGATTTAGAACGGATCGGATCTCTCTCTTTCTTGTAAATAGTTATTGAATTATCTATGTTTTATAAATCACATAGAAGTTACTTGGGCTCAGTCTTAATTTAATAGGACCAGAAATAACGTGGTCATAACATAAAAAACAAGGAGAAAGAGCATTTGTATGTGAATCCACTGTTCAGGCATCCGCATTTATGATATCTTGAGTTTGTTTTAGAAAACTTATTGAATCAAATGTGTTTTAGAGACATTCTGTAGATATACATCCATCAAATCTGCTTTTTTTGAGATTCAAGTCTGAATATCGAAAACAAGTAGAAAAAGCAGTTTTTATGTGAATCCACTGCTCAGGCATCCACTTTTACGATATATTTACTTCGTTTTAGAAAACTAATTGTATTAAATGTGTTTTGGGGACATTTGTATCTAATCTTTAGTTCGTTTAACTTTAGTTCGTTTTAGAAAACCTATGTTATCAAATGTGTTTTGGAGGTCTTCTGTAGATATACATCCATCAAATCTGCTTTTTTGAGATCCATGTTTGAATATCGAAAAACGAGCTTCGCCAATATCGAAAAACGAGCTAGTTGTTTTTCGCTATTCACCAATATCAAAAAACGAAAATCGAGCGACTTTCGCACTGCCTAGAAAAGAAGCGTTGTATTTTGTACAAAAATATAAACATTTTCTTTTAGGTAGGAAATTTACTAACCGTACTGACTGTCGTGCTTTAGTGTATATGATGTGAACTACATCGAAACAGTCTGCTATATTAGCTAGGTATCCAGTTTTTCGTTTGCTATAGTACACAGACTAGGAGCGTGTAATCGTATCGCAGACGGTTTATCACGTTATCCTCCTTATGAAAACTGTAAAAATTGTCCAGTAAATAGAGTTAGTATTTCGAGTGTTGATCTTCAAGAATCTTTGTGGTTATCAGTTATTTCAAAAGAGGAAATGGAATTAGTCCAAAGAGAGGATGACAATTTAAAAATGCATTATAATTGGCTAGAAAGGGGTTATAAATGTGGTTCTGATTAAATTCCTGATAATAATTCAATTTTGCGTGCTTATCGGAATGTATTTAACAAATGTAAGCTAACTTATAGACTTTTATGGTTTGTGAATACAAATGAAGATACACATAGACTTTAAGTATTGCGTTCTCGAACTTATACATGATCATGTGTTATGTGGTCACCTTGGTGTTGCTCATACCTTTAATCGTCTTCGTGGGAAATTCTTTTGGATCGGAATGAAACAGGATTGTGAAAACAGGATCAAGTCCTATGAAACTTGTGTTTCTTGCAAACGAAGTGTTCAAATTCCTCCACTACAAGAGCCTTACAGACCAACATTTCCTGATAAGAAGTTATGTATTGACTGTATTGGACCGTTACAACGTTCAAAAGGGGGTTATCTCTACGAGTTGTGCGTTATGGATGATTTCTCCAAATTTTCGCAGGCATTCCCTTTAAAATCTCTGACTGCAAGAGAAACAGCTGAAGTTTTAGTGAAAGAGTACTTCTGTAAACATAGTGTAATCCCTAAAATCATATTATCGGACAGGGGTAGTAACTTTATCAGTGAGTTGTTTCGTGAAATGTGTAATCCTCTCCATATTAAAGGTGTACGTACTCTTCCTTATTCACCTTCGAGTAATGGTGCCATCGAACGTTGGAACAATGCTTTAAAGAGTATGCTTAAGGTTTATACTAGTCAGAAATTTAAGTGGGTAGATATGTTACCTTTTTTATCTTTAGCTCATAACTCTACTGTTCATAGTAGTAATGGGTTTACACCTAACTTTTACACAGCAGGCGCGAAAGCAGGCTTCCTGCAGAGATGACGTATCCGTCTTTATCTGACCCTAAAGCCATTAGTGTAAATGACTATGCGAGGAACTTAGAAAAGAAACTGACTAACGCGGTTGAGTTTGCACAACAAAACTTGATTGAAACTCATAATCGTTATAAAAGTGAACGGAATAAACATGTACAATTTAAACAAGTATGTTTTGGTGATGAAGTTTTAATTAAAGACCCTGTGAGACAAACATAGGACTCAAAAGGAACAGTCTTAAAAACTGTAGATAATCCTGTATTATATGAAGTACATGTAATATGAAGTTCAAACTGATAATGGTGTAAAGTTATTTCATCATAATAAACTCAAGAAGTGTGTTCGTAAATATTTCAAAACCTTTTAAATCTAGACATTCGAGGAGGAGACATTGTAAGAATTCTGTTCCTGAATATGAACAATCAATAAATTCATCAGATGAGGAAGATGAACTATTAGGTTTTGTGGAAGAGAGTCAAAATTATAATGAGCTATTATGTGGAAACATGGACATTCCTCATGAGAGAAGTGATGTGTTTCACTTTGACAATTGCGGTGAAACTATGGTTAGTCTGAAATCAAAAACATGAGATTATTGAAAATCTATGGAACCAAAATTTAGACATTCTCATAGACAAGGATTTAGAAGGAGATTTGATGGTTTCGAAGTATATGGAGATGCTTCTAAATGTGGATAATACACCCATTAATGATAAACATCAATTGAAATTTAGTGTCAATTTTTCATATGTTAATGTCATTATATAGTACTTTTATAGTTATATTAATATTGAACAGGTGTTTTTATATTCACAAAGTGAGTGAGCTGTATTAAGAGTTTTGTTTAGAGTATCTTCTCATTAATTTTCAAGGGGTTAAGCTATAAGAAATAGAAGCAATGTTTGGTTTAAAATCTTAATATTTATTGATATTATTAAATGAATACATTGATTATTTCATATTTCTTTATAGATACATGTAGAGTATTGTATGAATGTACATGTATGAGTGTAAATGGACTTAAACTGTTATGCTTTGTGTGGAATATAAATATTGTAATACTGATGTAGTATAAAATTGAGAATAATAATGCATTATTATATGTATGTATTAAATAGTTTTCAACTCTCTACAATGACAGGGACGTCATTTGGGTTGGTGGGGAGGATGTGAGAACCCCCATATGCAGTCATTTGAATATATGTACAAGTCCCTGTGAAATTCCGATGCATAAGGGATGCTGGGATATGTTTGAGCAGACGAGAGAAGCCCGCGGAATGGCGATGTCAGGCTTGTGTTGGCGGTTACCCCATCGTTCCACTAGATGACCTGGCGCCTGGTACGTTCGGGCATTTTTATGCGCGAACTCTTAGGTTTTTTTTTTACTGGCACGCGCACAGGTACTATTTCTTTTTCTTTTAACATGTACCCAAATCGGGGATTTCGTGCGGAGGTAGTTCGGAGGTAAACAGTCTGTGAAGTACAACATTTGCCACTGTACCTGTATATCGCTAATTATAAACCGAATGTGTGAAGACAGTACATACATATCACTCAAAAATTGTTCAGTACAAACTCAGTTGATTCACGCTCGATTTGCTGCTAAACAAACCCATCGGTTTATTTTCTCAACAGTGTGACCCGAAGTGACCGCGGATTTATTGACCTTGTATGAACTTATCCATAGCTATATCCTTACACCGAGAGAAATTATCTAGTCTCGGTGAAAAGAACCATGGTCATCTGGTAGAAAATTACTTTTGTATTTTTTGGAACGGAAAACAGTGTTTTTAGAAGCAAACTAACCTGCCGCACATGAGGAAGTCATTATACTAATAATAAAAGGCGAGACCTCTTTTTGCGGCGCAGGCTTATCACTGAGTAGTAAACCGTCCACAAACAATAATATAGGAAGCCGAGTGACGAGTGTAGTGAGTCGAGATTACTCGCTTTCAGTTTACTCTGTTTTTGCGATAACCAATTATGTGAGAAATACCATACTGACATTCGGTTTTTAAAAGTTGTACGCGAACTAAATGCGTTTGTTAGATACTGATAGAGCAGCCCCGAGTCGAACAATCGCCGCCCGAGCTGTCTTCGTCAGCTAGTTTCACAATATCGTGCAATAGGTGTATTAATGTGATTTTTAGGTTTAACCCCGCAAACAATGCCAAAATAGTGTTTTCACTGCTTACAGAAAACTGAAATTTAAAAAAAAATTTTTTTATGAGGGTGACCCTCCCACACACTCCCTATCGAGCTGCCGCTCGGTCTGCGCAGCCTCATGCCTGGCACATACTGTCAACATTGTATATTTTTCCGTTTCCGCCCTTCCCCCCCCCCCACAATATATATTTCACGGCTACGTTGCGACGGTACCAGCATACCCAGTTGTTGACACCCATTACATCACTCCTGTCTAACAAATCATAAAGCTGTGGTGTTACGGTGGCGGCATAGTATTTCACCGTAACACACAGCCTCTCTAACCATTCATAATACATCTAACTATCCCTTTACAGCACTTCACTCCCTACACATTTCCCCTCGTCCTACTTTCCCAAACGTCAACAACACATCTCATACATCCAGTTCGCTGATTAACCCTTGTACCACGTCTACTGGATTGTCAATTATGATAGAAGTATATTGTACTGTAGTTTACTGATTATTTACTGGTACGTATGTATGTCGAAGTCATGTTTGGGTGCTGGCGGTTAACGCGTCGACAAGTGGCGGTTAGTTATTCCTTTATTGTCCTGAGATATAGGCCTATAAAAAGTCGTGAAAGATATGAATTCTACTAGCTCAAAATCAAAAGCAAGTGTTTTGTAAAGGTGACATTTTATTATTAACCAAATGAACTTTATTAATAGACTTTGCTTCAGGAAATAATAACATGGGTCACTGATAACTTAGACTGAGCTCTTCTTGACCACTCATTTTTGATTCAAAGAACTCTCTGTTTTTCGCACTTGGCATGTCCAAGGCCAGGGGCGTGACAGAGGGAAAATGTCATTTTGTTTTTTCAATGATTGTAGGAATAATACTTACTTAAGAACAGTTTTATGCTGAATTTCTACTGGCATTAACTGCGGATCAATCTTAATATCAGGAACATATTCACTACCATAGCACGTATTCTGTGAATGACAAGTTAACTGAAAATAAAAAAATATATATTATTTTATTTAGAAAATAGGAAAACATTACACTGAAAAAAAACTTGTGTTGGATCTCAACACAAGTACTTGTGTGAAAATTATTCTACACAAAACTTGTGTTGTTTTGCATTGACTCCAAATGCATTGACAAGAAAATAAGTAAAACTATTATTTAATGTGATTGGTTGATAAAATCAACGTACTATAGGCTACATTTTGTCTGCGATATCATCTCGGTGCAACCGGACATTAAATGAATTGATTTCACACAATTCATTTACCATTTAACAGCGTACTGAAATGATTTTTGAGCAGTGATATGTTTGACAAATGTAAGCTAATGGTCACAGAGAATAAAAGACCGCAGGTTTGTGAATATTTATATAAAAAAAAATAATACCATTTATTTTATGATCAGTAGTGGAATACCGCGTTTTATCAGTGAAATAAAAGTGTTATTCCACTGGCTAGTTGTTTTTACCTAAAATGATTGTAAAATCATAAAATAAATAGAACATTACGTATTCGTGAAAATATAAGTTTTCTTGCTTCTCGATGAAATAAAATATGTTATTCACTCTAAAACGACAAATATCCTCTATGTATGTAATTTAGCATCGATATTGTTTTTGTGTATAATATTAGTATTTCGTTTCCTTAAAAAAAACTCCAACAATTTAACCAGGAAGTTCATGTTTAAAATGGCGGGCGGGGACAGGGAAAAAATTTCGGCATGTTATTATCAAATCTGTTCAATTTTTCTGAAATCGTGCTTAATTAACATTAGTTGTTCGGCGCTACGATGTTGTTCAAATACGTACATTACAGAATCACATTATGATTAAACCAGAAACGGCTCGACTTGAACCAGCAGGTAAGAATCTGTTTTGAAATTATATCTTGGGAGGTTGGATTGGATTGGCGGCCATTTTGATTCTTGTTTCATGATTTTTTATATTATAAAGATTTTGCCAAGAGTAGACATAAACGCGGGCACAGACTAGAAAAAATCTTTTTACACTTTTGTGTTAGTTGAATTGTAATCTAATTTATGTTTAAAAAAACAACCTTAAATCAAATAAGTAGATATTTTCCCCAAACCCTCCGTTCAACCTCTGACTCTGTCACTCTGTGGAATATTATTAGGCCCCTATTTTCCTGATTCAGTCACAGTTAATAAATAATGGAACTAGAATCAGTCTGTGGAAGTTTCTCTATAGTTTCATTATTTTTTCCAGTCAGTGATGATATGACTCATTCCACCTTACAGTTACAGCAATTACCGTATTGAGAATTTACCGTTCAAGGACTCCATTTTGGCATTGAATTGGAATTTGAAGAAAAACTGGTAACAATTTCATTTAATTTTTCTATTTTCTATTTTTTTTTTTACCAATGTCCTACAATGATTAGTGTATGTGAACATACAATCCCAAGTAAAGTATTTATATGACACTTACATGCAACAGAGAGAGAAAAATGACATAAACAAGGCCTTACGTGTACTTGTATTTGAAGAATCAAGTAGTCCAAGCTATGCCTATATGCATACCGGTAATCAACTACGACGACGATTAGCTTTCTTCCGTTTCCACCCTTTCCCTGCACACTGTTCCATTCTACTTAGCCTACAGACGCTAGGTCGTTTCGGGAAAAAGGACAGGTAAGGTTAAATTTGATATGAATAATTCGTTTGCTGGTATGGGTATTTAGCAAACGGAGGAAACCGAATGGCCCAGAGAAAAACTCAAGAGATTGGACAGGCGACTCTACTCCTTGAAATTGAAACCATGCCACTTAACACAATGACAGACCCTGTGATTTCATGTGAATGCATTAACTACTAGACCATTCCCCCCAGCCCCACCCCATATTGAATAAAAGTATGGCTTATTTCAAATATGATATTTACATATAAAGAAAGTAGAGAGACTTCAATCTTACTAGAAAAATACTAGATTACCTGAAATGAAATGGGGTTTAAAGACAACGTCCTACTGTTCAGCTCCGACTGGTCTAATGCAGTGTGCTAAGAGAAAATGTTTGTCCGGGCAGCGACACTATGGCCTACTCTCATAGCGAATTCAAACTGCCAAGAGAACTTTTATGTGTACGCCAATGTGTACATTGGATCTCAGGGGAAACCACTCTGAAAAATCAAGATGAGCTTTCTCGGTCAACCCCAAGAGGTAACCTGTGGCCTCCATGCTAGTATTCCAGCACCTAACTCACTCAGTCACCATGGCCGTCTTCTAATTACTGCGACATTGAAACCATGTGACAAACAAGGATTATAAAAATAGATTTTTACGGCTTAGGTAGTTCCTTGGGATTAAAATTTTTGATACATATAGATACATTAGTTTCAATTTCAAATCACACAGTTTGTATATATGGTATGGTAGCTTTAATGGTAAATTACATATCATGTATTTATTTTTTCAGTTTCAATATTAGATGTATATGCAAATCACCCAGGAAAAGATCATGTAACAAAAGAAATTATAAAAGTAAAAAAATGGAAGAAGAAATGGCTGGAAAAAATGATGATAGAGCAGCTTTTTCTTGGTGGGTAACTATTCAATCCTTATAGAAAAGATTGCTGTTATGCTATTTTGAAATCTAAAATTCAGTTTAGTATAGTAAAACTGTACACGTACATGTATGAGCACAGACAGAATCTTAGTTAGATATGACTGTCTCATCTGTGGCAAAGCAAACCAACACATGAAACAAAACAAATGTAGTTAAATTAACATTTTTTGACTTAATCAAAACTGTCTAGTCAATTTAAGCCAACTAATGTAATACATTGCATATTTTTTTTCAGTTAGCCACCTCGGAAGATCAAGACAGCTGGAAAGGGCTATTGATATTGTGGAAGTGTTTTCTTACAGAGGTTGCTTATCAGACAAAGGCTATGTAAGTACCATGCATATTTGCTTTTTGAATCAGGAACTGGTTCTATACACTTGGTGGGGTGGGGGGGGGTTGGATGGCCGAATGGTTAGCATGTGCGTGCTGTATCATACGGCCTGTCATCCTCGGTTGTACGTGACAAGGAGTAGGGTTGCCTGTTCAACCTCGTGGGTTTTCTCCGGGTCCTCCGGTTTCCTCCCACTGCTAAAGACCTCTACGCGCAAGCGAATTAATGAAATAAAATTAAACCATATGTTAGCCCCGAAATGACCTAGTTTGTGTCGAGTGGACGTTGAACCCCATTTCTCTCTCTCTCTATACACTTGGTAATCTAGTTCTTCTTTTTGGGGCATAGTCTAGCGCTATGCCATTTCAAATACGATCAACATGAGACTCAGCAGGCTTGTTTGGTTGATATACAGTTTTGATATATGACTTCAAAACTATAAGATGGATGCAATGTTACACCCTTTCATAATCATTATTATAAAGCGTTCAAATGCATGAATTTGTAAAATATAATTAATATCATATTGTAATACTGTTTGCAATACTGTATTCACCACTGCCTTAGTGGAGATAATTGGTAAATTAAATGATTATTTTTTCATTATTGTCTTTTTTTCAAGACTTTTGTTCTGGCTTCTGACCCATTGAGGCATAATACTCTACCTGGGTCTGTAACTTGAAAAGACACAATAAGTATTATGCAAAGTTGAAACAAAATAGAGACTCAACGTGTGGAAAAATAAGTTATTTATTTAAACATTGTGAACCGTAGAAAGTATATTTATTGCCAACTCAACCACATACTATCATCCAGGGTTTATGGACCTACTTATAGTCCAACCTTCGACGATGGGTTGTATGTTCAATCTAGTTGGAGGTGTACGATTGAACATACAATAATTCAATAACTCACTTCTCTTAGTATAATCTTATATTCTGTAACAATATCTAACAAAGATAATATATACATATAATACTGACCCACAGGATAGGTAACTTAATAAGGAACAGCATCTAAGAAATAACTAGTCACTATATCAGAGACCTGCCCTTCAGTATGTCCTGCTGCCTGCCTGTGGTTAACTCGCCTTTTTCTAATATATACAATTTTTAGGACTTTTATACCTTAGCTTTGTTTTTAGTTACAATATAATCCTTAATACCTTACTGGAATAACTTTACAATAGATAATAATTTATGAAACAATGTCTCTCTAATATAATTACAGAGTTTATTTTAATTAGGATTCTGGCTAATCTATAATGGCTCTGGCCTCAAATTAACTATGCTCTAATTCTACCTGGTCATAATACTTGAATATTAAGCCATCAAATTATTTTATAATTTTGAAAATGAAATGAAATGGGGTTTAACATCCTACTGTTTTGCTCATAAACTGGGCTAATGAAGACGGGCATACACCATACAGTGTGCTATGAGGGAAATTTTGCCCGGGCAGTGGCGCTACAGCCTACTCTTATATCGAATTCCAACTGCCAAGGGATCTTTTACATGCACGCCAATGTGTACACAGGACCTCGTTTTTTTATCCCATCCAAACGACTAGACAGCTGTCCTTGTCAGGTCTTCCGTCCTGTATCACTGACAAGGGGAAGACACGTCGGAAAATCTGGATGAACTTTCTCAGCCAATTCAGGGATCGAACACCCGACCTCCAGGCTAGTGAGCCAGCGTCGTACCCTCTTAGCCATGTGATCTCCTTATAATTTTGAAAAAGAATATAGTGATTGTAAAAGCTAATAAGTTATCGGTTGCATTTTATTTTTGTTTTTAATGTTAAATATCCCTCTCAAACACAATTATATTTTAATTCTCTCCAGAAATTTGTGTAAAATATAGACTGTAAATTAAAACTTTCATCTTTTAACTGTTGAGTCAATTTAAGTCATCTAATACATAGTATGTTCTTTTCCAGTTAACTACATCAGAAAGATAAAAACAGTTGGAAATGGCTATTCATATTGTGGAAACTTTTCTCACAGAGCTTGATAATCAGGCAAAATGTAAGTAACATACATATTTGTATTTTTAATCAGGAAGTAGTTTTATACACTTGCTTGGTAATCTAGTTATTCTTCTTGGGGCAATGCCTAGGACTCAGCTATTTCAAGTACTTGGCATGCTTGATTTTTGCCAATCACATCCATTGATTTCCTTCAAGTTATGATAGGGCCTATGTGTATTTTTACAGTAAATAGCAGTAAAATAATGATGGACAATATTTTACTTTTCAAATAGATTTCAATAGATTTTAAAGGGTAATATCCAATTTGTTGTCAATGGAAATAAAATAAGAATGGGTCCAAAAATAATTAGACATTGCCAAGTAAATAGGTGCTGCCAATGATGTAGTAGGGAATCGGGATTTGCAGACAATACATGTATGAACCGGGTGAATAGTTGACCTATTATGAGACTTCAGTCCCAAATCTCAAGACTTTTTTCTGACTTGGCCTGACAAAGACAGCTGTCTAGTCCTTCCGATGAGACGAATATTGGAATGCACGTAAAGGATCCCCTGGCAGTTGGAATTCGATATAAGAATAGATGATAGTTCCGCTGCCTGGTCAAAAATTCCCTCATAGCACACTGTGTGGCATATGCCCGTCATTATTAGCCTAGTATAGGAGCAGAACAGTAGGACGTTAAACCCCATTTCATTTCATTTTTCTGACTTTTAACCCATTTGATTTGAGCATAATAATCTGCCTGGGTCTTTAAGTGGACAAGACACAATAAGCGTTACGCAAAGTTGAAACCAAATAGAGACCCAGTCTCGATGTGGCAAAATAAATTGTTTATTTAAACATTGTATTCTTATTGCCTACTTTTTATTTTTTAGGCTGGAACACCCTTGAAGGAGTATTTGATGTATGATAACAACAAGAGAACCAAAGCATCAATTTATTTTATACTTCTGGGAAAGAATGCATTTGACCCAATTTTTAAATATTTATTTTTTGTTATTAATGTTAAATTTTCTTCCAAAACACAATTAGATTTTAATTCTCTTCAAATATGTATGTATAATATAGCAAGTAAACTGACATATAAATCACTTAGAATTTGGTCGGAAATCATAAAGTATTTAATAGGCATTACTAGAAACCAAATGTAGATCAAATACACCCAGAATTACAAAAAACCTTGACCTACATTAAGGTGACTTTCCCTTGCTTATGAAATGAAATACGTTTTAATATCCTGCTTTTCTGTGTTCTTAGAGTGATTCTACCCTACCCTTATATCAAATATTTCAACTGTCAAGGGTTCTTTAAAGGGTACCCAGGGGGGCCGAATGGTTAACACGCACACATTTGATCAGAAGGTCTGTCATTGATTCAAATAATTCAATTTTCAAGGGTTCTTCAAGGTGTACGCAGTTGGGTTGGTTTCGAATCCCCGGTTGTAGACAAGGAGTAGGGTCGCCTGTCCAATCTTGTGGGTTTTCTCCGGGACCTCCGGTTTCCTCCCACTGCTAAAGACCCCTACGCGCTAGCGAATTATTGAATTAAAATTAAACCATATGTTAGTCCCAAAATGACCTAGTTTGTGTCGAGTAGACGTTAAACCCCATTTCTCTCTGTCTCTCTCTCTTTTGATTCTGGGCTTGTACCCAATTATCCCTTGCCATATCCAACACTGAAAAGTGGGAACCATGCCGGAAAATCCAGTTGAAATTTCTCGGCCAACGCCTTATGCTCACTGAACCACTGTGGCTTATGACTTGTGATTGTATATAAATCTTTTGTACATATGATATTTTTTTATTTCAATCCTGTAATCTTGATGCTTTGCTTCTTTTATTTATAAAATATTCATTTTGTTTGGGGTTTTTTTAATGAGGAAAAGGCTCTACATCATTTTATTACTCCTGCAAAATAGAGCAATTTTCTTTTGTTAGTTTTCTGTGTATGCTAGTTATTTCTAGATGCCTCACAAATCACTTGTAGTGTGATTTTGTAGCATTTTTCAGTTTTGAAATTGTTTCAATTTAGTGCATAATTAATCTTATTAGTGCTTAGTTTGGATGTTATTAAATTTAGATATATTTGAATTATATATTATGGGGTAGGGATACTGTGTACATATCTTTATATTCTCAGTTCTTGTTTTGGGGTAAAGAACAATTTAAATAGCTATTTTATATTTTGTGATGGGTAAAGTGTGTGGGGCAAAAAACAATTTAAATAGCTATTTTATATTTTGTGATGGGTAAAGTGGGGGGGGGGGAGGGGTCATTATATATAACACATTATAATTTGTATTAGAATTGAAGTCTCTGTTTTTCTGTTAACATTTCAAATATCTATTTAGTTTTGATGTATTAATTTACTTTTTCCTATGATTTTATGAATAAATAATAATCTTACAAAATTTTTTTTTGTTTCCTTCTTTTATCAAACTTTACAGGTCTAACAGAGCAAAGAGAGGGGTCCTGCATAGAAAGGTTGCTATGCTGGATATAAATTGGGGAAAAATACAACACAAGTTTTTGATGATGGTTATACACAAGTTTGTATGAAACCACACAAGTTTCAGAAATTTCAACACAAGTTTCAGAAATTTTAACACAAGTTTCAGAAATTTCAACACAAGTTTCAACACAAGTATTGTGTAGATTTCACACAAGTTTCAACACAAGTTTTGTGTTGTTTGATACATTTTAACACAAGTTTTGTGTTGTTTCAACATTTAACACAAGTTTTGTGTTGTTTTAACACAAGTTTGTGTTGTTAAATAGAGACACCTAACTTGTGTTGAATTTAACACAAGTTTGTGTTGTTTCAACACAAGTTTTTTTTCAGTGTACATTATAACGATTTCTTCTTTTAATCGACTATATGACTTGCATTTTAATGTAGGCAGTGGTCGTGACATCCTCAACAATGTACGGCAGAATGTTAAATCTGATATTTTGTATTAAGTTCATTCTTGTCTGGTTAAATATATTTAAGACCATCCAATACCATGTTTTAAATTGGTCTTTAAAAATAATATAAACAATCAAACATGTGTGAATGCATGCAGACAAAATAGAATTTATGGAATGTTTAATGCAGAACTTCTGGCCACGGCTGAATTAACGAGATATAACATTTGCTTGAAAACGTTGAGAGAACCCTCAACGAAAGTCGCTTTAATTAAAATACAGTAGTAATTGTGTTCGATATTATGTTTTTGTGTTTATGAGATATAACCATATAAAACAATACTCCGGCACAACCGGAACATATGAAACCTACCTATGTCAGGAAGTGAGCTTTTGGGGCAACTGACTGCACCAAAGATAACGTTTCAGAGAAAATGTTTTAGGCTAAACCATTAAATTATACGAACTCCAGATCCTTAACAGAAATGAAATAGACAGAAATGATCATCTATACGAGAAACTCGTATCATAGGTTTACATAAGTTTATGGTACAAGCTCCCCACTCCCACCTCACCCCAGATTTGCCCGAAATTGTCAATCGGTTCCTTTGCCTCTGTGATTCGAGTATTGAGAACTACAAAACTTAGAGACAATCTGTTGGGGTTTATTTTATTGGCGACTTGAGTGCCCTTTCTACATTGATCCGTATTTTTCTTGAATTGATTCATGTTTATTATAAACGTGTTTGTAATTTTAACCAGCTGTAGTTTATGTAAAATTGCCACAATCATGTATCAAGACAAAGGGGTTCAACGTTTGTTAGCAGAAAAAAACAGCGGCTGCCAGGCAGGATACGCCCACATTTTCGAGAGATGGATAGAGAACAAGCTAAAAAAAAGTGATTTTTCCTACAATCAAGGGCCATAATTCAGGAAATTACAATTCAATATGCGCAAATATCGAAAGGAACCAAGAGCTTTGTGTTATAAACTTACATTTCAAGTTTCAACAAAATCGGATAAAAATTGTGACCTCTATAGGGTCCACAACCTTGATATACCATATTTTTTACGCTATTTGAGAACAAACTGCAGCCATTTTGTCTCAATTTTGGGCCGATTTTCACGAAATTCGAACTCAGCCATCCTTGGGGTGTAACGGTGATATAATAATACGGTTTTTTAAATCGGATAAAAATTACGACCTCTATAGGGTCCACAAGCTAAAAACGTGATTTTTCGTACAGGGGCCATAATTCAGGAAGTTACGGTCCGATATGCGCGAATATCGAAAGGAACCGAGATCTTTGGGTTATAAACTAACATTTCAAGTTTCAACAAAATCGAATAAAAATTGTGACCTCTATAGGGTCCACAAGCTAAAAACGTGATTTTTCGTACAAACAGGGGCCATAATCTATGAAGTTTCGATCCGATACATGCCAATATCGAAAGCAGCCGAGATCTTTTGGCGATAAACCTATATTTCAAGTTTCGTCAAAATTGGATAAGAATTGTGACCTATAGAGTGTCCACAAACAAATTGTGGACGGACGGACGGACGGAGGGACGTCCGGACGGACAGGGGCGACGACAATATACGTCCACATGTGGGCGGTATAAAAATGAGACAGTGATCATTCTATACAATTTAAGAGTCGTACAATTTGTTTGTGGTTTTCAAGGAGTTTAAAGAAAGGTCGTGTAATTTACAGTATCGTCGGTAAGTTAATGCCTGGATGGCCTGGCGCCTGGTACGTTCGGGCATTTTTATGCGCGAACTCTTAGGTTTTTTTTTACTGGCACGCGCACAGGTACTATTTCGTTTTCTTTTAACAAGTACCCAAATCGGGGATTTCGTGCGGAGGTAGTTCGGAGGTAAACAGTCTGTGAAGTACAACATTTGCCACTGTACCTGTGTATCGCTAATTATAAACCGAATGTGTGAAGACAGTTCATACATATCACTCAAAAATTTTTCAGTACAAACTCAGTTGATTCACGCTCGATTTGCTACTAAACAAACCCATCGGTTTATTTTCTCAACAGTGTGACCCGAAGTGACCGCGGATTTATTGACCTTGTATGAACTTATCCATAGCTATATCCTTACACCGAGAGAAATTATGTAGTCTCGGTGAAAAGAACCATGGTCATCTGGTAGAAAATTACTTTTGTATTTTTTGGAACGGAAAACAGTGTTTTTAGAAGCAAACTAACCTGCCGCACATGAGGAAGTCATTATACTAATAATAAAAGGCGAGACCTCTTTTTGCGGCGCAGGCTTATCACTGAGTAGTAAACCGTCCACAAACAATAATATAGGAAGCCGAGTGACAGTGTAGTAAGTGGGCTATAGACTATAGGTTTGAGTCGAGATTACTGGCTTTCAGTTTATTCTGTTTTTGCGATAACCAATTATGTGAGAAATACCATACTGACATTCGGTTTTTAAAAGTTGTACGCGAACTAAATGCGTTTGTTAGATACTGACAGAGCAGCCCCGAGTTGAACAATCGCCGCCCGAGCTGTCTTCGTCAGCTAGTTTCACAATATCGTGCAATAGGTGTATTAATGTGATTTTTAGGTTTAACCCCGCAAACAATGCCAAAATAGTGTTTTCACTGCTTACAGAAAACTGAAATTTAAAAAAAAAATTTTTTATGAGGGTGACACTCCCTATCGAGCTGCCGCTCGGTCTGCGCAGCCTCATGCCTGGCACATACTGTCAACATTGTATATTTTTCCGTTTCCGCCCTTCCCCCCCACAATATATATTTCACGGCTACGTTGCGACGGTACCAGCATACCCAGTTGTTGACACCCATTACATCACTCCTGTCTAAGAAATCATAAAGCTGTGGTGTTACGGTGGCGGCATAGTATTTCACCGTAACACCACAGCCACTCTAACCATTCATAATACATCTAACTATCCCTTTACAGCACTCCCTACACATTTCCCCTCGTCCTACTTTCCCAAACGTCAACAACACATCTCATACATCCAGTTCGCTGATTAACCCTTGTACCACGTCTACTGGATTCCATGGTTATTCAGAATATGGTATTTAACCAAATTGATTTTCTGTGAGAGAGAGATATACTAGTATAATGCCTTTTTAAGATGAATTCATATTAGGAATGGTTAAACTCTTAAATATTCATTTCGGTGTGGTAAGTGTAAGTTGTATACTAATTATAGCTATTTCTTTTTTTAAATGTTGGGTCGAGTTAGCTGTATCAATCATAATTCATAGTTATTTAGAAGACATAGATGAGTCACCCATCGCTGTCGAAATTATTCGACACATAACGCAACCATTTATTGGTTCTAACTAAGCGGGATTTTAAAAATATGAAAAATACGTATAATTAAAACCACGGTTACAAATTAAGATGTCAAAATCGTATACATATAAAAATGTTTTGCGGCTAAAGATTATTTCATACTTGGACATCAATACGTGATGTGCACACAATATGCTGGCATCTCTGTTCTATGACATCAGATGTTTTGATCTCGTAACTGTAATATCAAGACATCCATTGAGATTCTTATGATTAAATATCTTGTTTTTAACAAGATAAAGAAGAAGCATCGTCGCCAGTAAACGTGCGTTCTTTGACATCATTTAATTACCGGCCATACTCCCGTTTCTAACTCAAAATTCAATTTGAAAAGCGATCAATTTTCATTACATCTTCGACATTGTCTGACCCAAGCCAAACCAATACTTTACTTCATTCTGGCAATTACATCATCTAAAATATCTAAAGACAGATTATATACTTTTCAAAAAAAGTAGGGGATATTCAGAAACAATACAAAACTGCGGAAATGCACTGCTGTTTTTATTAGAGGTAACCAGTGTATGTTGATAACAGGCCAATTGCCTACACATGAACATAAACAGTTCATATGGGCGGCTTATCTGACGGCCCCATTTCACTC